TTTTATGTTATCAAGGGTCTATGTTACAGAGGTTTTGGGCTCTGATGGAATCATATTATTTTTTGAGTAATAGAGGTTTTTATGTTGTCGAGGTTTGAGTTACCGAGGTAAATACTGTACATTTTGCTAACGAATAATTTTTCTGTCTAAATGTTTTGAGAATGTAACGATTTTTTTTTAAATCCGAAGAACAATAAACGGCATGTCTTTTGAACGGAATTGTATAAACGTTTATTTATGATTCCTTCAAGTTTAAATATTTAAAGATGGAATATTAAATTAGTCTCTCTTGGCTTCGAATCCGCGGACATCACATCAAATATGGAATAATAAAAGATAATTGTAATTTTATTTTTGTATAGAAATTCTACAGATACACTTACACGCCTTTTTTAAATTGTAACTAGCATCTAATAGAAAAAGATAAATTTTTTATATTCATCTTTCAGGATCAACTAGTGACTTAAAATAGGTTACTAAAGTTGTATAAAACGGTACAGAACCTGGCAAATACAGGGCGTTTCAAAAATCAAATAATAAACTGTCAGTTAAAATGATTTCGCGTTCGATAGCTAACGTATGTTTTTCGATTTTCGATAATAACGTCGTTCGAAATTTGAATGAATCACGTGACGTGAGTCAATCCCCATTGTTCCGACACAATGCTGCGTACAACATTCGGGTCCGAGTAAATTAGGAAATGTATTTTTTATTGGAAAGCCTTTTGGAATGACAATTGGAAGTAATATATGATACACGTACGCGATTCCAGTTAGAACCGTGAGAGTATTTGAATATTGCCGGCGTTCGCGGCGCGCGCCCGCCTTTGGTGATTTTACTTTTTTTCTCTCTCTTGTTCCTTTAATGAAGGGGCATTAAGACCCCTGCAGCAAATGTGTAATGTTTACGAACAACGTTTATTGTACCAAAAGTCAAACATTTGCATTGTTTTACGGAGAAGTGCGGTTGGAAAAATAATAATTTTTATTTATATAACAATCACGTTCGGCTCACATTGATTGTTTGGTAGCTGGTGACGTCACCTCCGCCGCCTGATAAGGTACTTCCGGTCGAAATCCTGACCGATGGGTGAATGGATGACCGAATGAACGGAACGCCGACCTCAGCCAACACGACTACTTTTCCTATCAGATATCAACGGGAGGAGGACTATTAACGCAAATTCAGAAGTAAAAATACAGCAAAATGTGACGTTAACCAAATGATTTAAGCGACATAGAATAATTAATTGTAATTGTAATTGTAAATTCAAAATAGATTAGTGTTAAGTAATAGTTAATGCCCGCGACTTCATCCGCGTATATGTAAAACAAACTAAATAAGTTGTCTATGTGTTTTTCCAGACTATGTTCTATATCTACATATGCTTAATTTAATCGAGGTCCATTAAGCTGTTTTAAAGATATGTAGTAATCAACATCCATCCAAAGTTTCATATTTATTAGTAAGGATTTTTCTCGGTAATTCCAGTAATAATTTAATTTATGATAACATTGTGTGCATAAATATAATTTGAGGAGAATAAAAGCTATAGTGGCTTTTCGTGTTTCAAGGCTCTTCTTTAGAAAATAGTCACTTAGATTTTGCAATTATTTACTAAAAAAACCCAATATCGGTATACGTGTATTGTAGTAGTCAATCTTTTAGAGCCTTTGACTAAACTATCGCATTTTGAATCCTATGACCTTAATGGAGCGCACACTACTCGATTTTTAGTTCTGAAAGTAAACAGTTGAATGGGCAGCGAAACAATTGAGAATCGCACAACCGTTGTGCGATAGTTTACTCAAACCAACAATAATTGAGGAAAATGAACAATCAGTACATTTATGTACTTTTTATCATTCGTTAAATGAGGAAACTAACAATTCGTTTTAAATTAAAATAGAAACTTTTATATGTGAAAAAAACTAACCACTTCTTAGAATTGCGTATTATAAACAAATTACAATTTATATTTTAATGCTGACCTTTACGTCAATTATTAACGTGTTTGGAAAGCCATAATAATGACTATAGCAACACCAAAATTTGTATTAAAATTATTACTCTTTGTTGTAAAAACTTAATAGGAAAAATCTTTATAGATCCAAAACTAATGATGTAAGAAGTTTAAATAATTTACCGGATTTAGTTACGAAATGATTACTGAGGTAACCACTTAGCGTAGTTTTAGTATAAAACGCTAAGTAGCTTTTAGAACTTAGTAACTGGTTTGTCTTAGGTTTAATTATGAGCAATAATTGTTTTAAATAGATCGACGGTTTAAAATTAGTGTGATAAATTTAAGGCCGATTTCCCAGCTACTTTTAACCACTCATTAGTGTTTTTCATTCGATAACTTCAATGCGTTTCCGAACTTAACTTGAGTTTTACTCCATTCAAAGGTAAAATAGGTAAATCTAACACTAATGTATTACAGGTGATGATGTAAATGGAATATTCAGAAACCCAGCATTAGACAAATATCGGTACGGTCTCTATAAAATGTCATATTTAAATGTCATATTTGAATACTTATGTTAGTACTACCGTATGATACCGGAGGTGCGTGCTTCATCTGTCAAAGTAAAGGTGAACGTGTCAATTCTGAAACCTTTCGAAATGATGTCGGATTGTTGAAGATACAGGCTTTAAGTTAGAACAATACTAATATAAAACAAGGCGAAAGTTACTTGGTGGTGATTGTTTTAAATTAGATTTTTAAGACAGATTTAAGCTAGTAACTTAGGTACACTAATCTTAATTGTATGTTTGTCTTTCTGCGAATAACTTTATTTACATTCTAAAATGATACGGCTTAATAAAACAATTTTAATTTACCGTGATTTTTATATTACATTGTGGCAAACGAGCAAACAGCGATTTGAATTCGCCGATGTAGCGAAGCCATGTACACAGATACCCTCAATTACAGATGCGTTGTCTAAGTGTAATCGGCAGAGGAGACACACAGAAAAGGGATATTTTCTCTTCCTATGCGATCCTACCTGCGTCAAATCCACGTCCCACAATTCTATTGTCGCAATTGGCAAAGTAATAGTTTTTAGTTAAAAAAGTTTTTGTCAGTAAAACTGAAGTCTTTATAAATAACTGTTAACAATTAATAAACGATTCTAGTTTTATTAGAATTATTGCTTGTTATTCCTTGAAATATTTCAACAATTTTAAATCCTGGCAGTTGAATTAACAACGATTGAGAGTGAAAAAAAGACGAGATACGAACGCGTCTTTAACTTGTGACCAATTGATTCTTACGGTGGGGCTGGACGGATCGTTATAATAAAACATACAAAATATTTTAGATAGGGATTATAGGAAAATGTAAACATTGTTTAACCGTTATTTATATAAATAAAAAAAAAAAACTTTGAAAATACTTGGATTAGAATTTCATAATGTCTACATATTTCAAATAAATGCATAGTCTGAAAGATTTTAACAAACTTGAAATAACTTGACAAGTCTGTTTCCCTTGTAAGCTAAGCTTAAATTTCTTTTATTAAAGGTGCTGAAAAAAGTTAACTGAAACTCAAATAGACAGATTAATGTTTTCTCTGCAACACTGTATATACTAAAATATTTCTTAGAAATTAAATTGTACAAGGAATATGTAACTTTATGAGTAAAATATTTGACAGCGAGCGTTCGTCATATCGAAATATTTCTTAGAAATTCATAAAGGTTGCGATGATTTGAATATTAAAAACATCGGTATCTATATACTGTACAAATATTTTATATGCGTGTCCTTATTTAGCATATTACAATAGAATGAGACAAAACTTATAATACTTTTTAGACTTGGCGTTGACTATTACAGTCACTGTACAGACAGAATCTTGTCTACAGACATTTACGTTTTAAAATCTGTTTTTAGAAAACTAAGGTGTTATTAATCTAGTTTTAATAGACTTTTATCTAAAAATAACTATCTTAAGAATTCACTAGAACTCTTCTTAATAAGTTTCTTTAAAATAAAACTAAAATCAATTCAAATATAAACCTGTATCAAATAAGATAAAGGTGAATTATAGGGTATCAAATATTTATTATAAAATTCCACACCATTCTGAAGTGTCACGGTTTCAAAACCATGCGACCCGAGCGACCCTGAAATTTCTAGATATAGTCCTTTATCTACTCTCAGATATCTGATAGAGCTTGCGGGATGCCATTCAGAAACTTTAACGGCCTGCGATATAAAGCTCTGTTCATATTACATAAACTACACATAAATAAATTTAAGATTTACTTGTTAAAAACAAGCTTACGTTAACATTTTTAAATCGTAAGAAAACTAACTGAAGTAAAGAGCTTTCAAAAGCTCTCAATTTTTTTGCAAGTTACTTATTGCACGTAATATAGACTGGACATTATTTTATTAAATAAATAAGCTATTTATTGATACTGTAAATAATATTGTTACAAATTAAGCTGCTTGTATTTGAACTTTATCAGTTTATTACCCCGGCGTCGCTTAGAAATTACTTTTAATAATAATAATACACGTTAATAATAAAATATATTATAATCTACTTGACTTATAGATATTAATATTCTAAAGGTAGTATAAATACAGTTTATCATTTATTTTAATAGATCTTTGCATATTTATTACATAAACCAACTATTTAATTAGAAATTATCCTATTTTTGTATCTATTTTTTAGTGTATCAGTTAATAGTATTCTTTAGCCTTCAATTTCTTACACTTTTTGTTAACTCTTCTAACTTTTACTTGGTATCAAAAGCTTCAACTTTGAACTAAGAAACTTTTCTGAAGTTCTAATTTACTTAACGTATTATAATTGTGTTTAGTTGCTTTATTATTTCCATTTACATAATGTTTAAATATACAACAAAGTTTTATTTTGTTAATATTTGAACTTCTAAGATATTTTTACACATTATTTAAGTTAATAAATAAAGGGAAAGTTAATTAGTACTGAAGTAAAGTTATAATATAGGTAACTCACCTTAATCTAAGACATCCAAACACGAACGAAAATGCATTTACCAATGTTTTTATGAAGCACAAACAAAATCCAAATGTTTTATCACTCACGTAAAGTACACTTTCACAGTTTTCCGAAAGCAAAAAAAAAGTTTTTTGTCGCTTATCAACTCAACTTTACTTTACGTAAACCTGAAAACAAAGTTCGTATTGAAGCGCGGGAGAAATCGAAAATTTAACGAAACTTATAGAGTCAGGGGACACGAGGCAGTCGCGCGCGCCTTACACACGCGACTGAAAAAAAATTGCCACATCTACGTAAGTCTCGGAAACTAAATCAAAATACTCGATAGAGGGGGACGAGTCTTCGGAGGCCCCACCCTACCCCCACCAGCGGGCGCACGCAAAAACATTCGTAAAAACCACGCGCACGACTACTCCGCGAAAATTATCAATAATGTTTATCTCATATTCGACAAAATACGTAAAACCAATTCGGACATCGCCTCAACCTTGTGTTGTAACAATTAAAACGAATCGCACAATAATATTCCGACAATGTCGAAATATTTTAAACAATATACATCAGTTTAAATTGTAAGAATCATAATAATAAACAACGAACGTGTTATTGAAAATAATCTGCGCTGCGAATGCGTTCTTGTCGCTCTTTGTTATGTATGAAATTCGGTAACGAAATTAAAAAAGTCGAGTCGAGTTTTCCCGCGCTCCTGTAAAATTTCGGCTACGCGTCCAGAGCCTGATAAAGCGACCGCGCGCCACAGACGCCAGCCCGCGAATACCGGCCTCGCTTCAAGCGCGACACACGCAACGCTTTTTTTCTTTTAATTCCGCCAAAAAACGCGTAAGAAAAGGCTCCCCAGTTTAGGGTTAACTGTGAGGTCGGGCGCTAAGATGTTCTTGTTTTTTTTATAAACATCGTTGCGTACCGTTCGCGAACTGGATCGTATTTGGAGTGTTGACCTTCGACCGGCCGGCTGTTCGTAATTAAAAAAAAAAACGAAATTTCTTCGACTGTACTCTATGTGGGGATAATATTAACAGATTTTTCTTATGCCTCAAGTTTGATTCTACGAGTAGATCTAGTCGTAACATATGTCATATCTAAGTCTCATAGACACCTTATTCATGTCTTTGTTTGTAAGTAAGGATTTTGTAAGTTAGCTGAAACTTTCAACACTACAGCGCATCAAATTCATTTTCATTTGTTTCTTATTGGTTAACTAAGTTCAAAGGCCGTTACAAACTCGTAACAGTTGTTAGTTCATATCATTTCTTGTAGCTAAGATAGATGTTAGATTGCAGAAGAAATAACAAAGTCTTTCAATATTCATGGTAGTAACCGGTCTGATGCTTCCTATAGTAATCTTTATGATAATTTTGAGATCAATTAATTGCTTTTTCTGTCGGTTTTAATTTCCCCAGCGGAAGCGCCGGCTCCTTATGACTGGTTATAGTTTTTTAATCGACTTCTCAAACCCGAATTCCTGATGCGATTTAAAGAAATTGTATTTTCTTATTGTAATTGTTTTTAATGTCTGTTTGAGAATTCAATTGATTCGTCACTAAAAGTATAAACATAAGTTTGTAAGTTGTTATAAAAAGTGACGAAAGTATGGATATATGTTTTAATTCGATGTATAAAGTTTATTATCCATAAGCAACTGCGGTTTAATTATTGGTTAGAGAAGCATTTATTTCTACAAGTATCTAGAAGCTTTACGCTACCTCTGCTGATGTCAATGACTTATGGTATCGGGGTAAATCTTCCAAAAGATACCCTTCTTGGGGGGAAGACAGGGTTAAGTGAGGTTTGTACACAATAAAACACCTTCGGTGGTCTCTGGTGCAATAGACACATCTAACACTCCATTATTCCATCTCTTTCGACATTTATCTTCTCAAATTAATAAAAACTATTCTTGATATTCAATTATTTTCAGTCCTAGGGTTCAATCTCTAATAATTTAGTATTTATTAGAATAAAGTTATCGAAATATTGATCCAAATTGTTCGACTCTGTCGTCACTTTCTGAGAACTAAAGGTCACAGCTGCCCAATTTTGTAATTGATTCTTCAGAATTTAAAGACGATTTTACATTAACGAAACGAATAAATAATCGATTTGCAATTCAGTATAAATTGTGCGATAGTATTAAATTTCGATTCTTTCGTTTGCAGTTTTGTACTAAATAACTTTAATACTTTATAGATAGATTTATGATCTAAATAAAACAGTTATAGGTCATAGTAAAATTGATAAATCTTATAGATTTATCATATTGTCAAATTGCATTCTTAAAATTATCATAACCTTTAAGTTATGCTGCGTGAAATCACATGACTTGTACATATCACTCGCTATCTCTTGCAGACGGTATTCGTTGCGCCCACGCATCACACTGATACCAAAAATCCAGACATAGGATGTTTATACCTAAATGCGTAGACCAATGTTCTCAGAAGCTATCCGATATACCTTTCTCTTGATTAAATACTGAGAAAACATCGATATTCAACACGGTGGTCTGAACATGGGGGTCTAGATTTTGGTTTTAATTTATACATGTAGTACCTTTCTAATAAATGACGATATACGAGAATCTATTATTTCACAAGATTCTCTTAAACTTTTGAAAATATTTAATTTCCAGCTGTTGCTTGCGACTTGGTCCACGTGAAATTTACAAATATAGCCTATGTCAGCGATAACGTTTAGCTTTTTAATTGTGAAAGGTTTTTTTTTTTAAATCGGCCCAGTTTTGCGTTATTTCAAAACGTTAAAAATCCGAAAATACAAATCTTTCCTCTTTAAAATATTAGTATAGACAAAATATTTTTATCAGACAAGAGAGTCAAGTATTGTCAAAAGACTTTAAAAAAAACGTGAACACACCGAATAAAACATCCTGTGTGTTTCTATAAACATTCCGTGATAGATTAAAAAATAAAATGCCAATATTAAAAATTGAGTTCTTGAAACATAACAAAGTAATGCTGTAACAAAGTGCACTAGACACTGTTTATAATTAGTTACATTTTGATAGTGAGTTAAGGCGCGAAATGTCAGCGTCTATTTTTGCGCGGGAAACGCGCGGCGTCTGTCAACGGCGGGTGTTGCGCGCGACTCTCGTTCCTTTCTACGCGTAAGAAAGCGCATTGTGAGGCATTTTTATACTTTTAGACTGATACCCAAAAATTGTCTTTAACTGGAGGACGAAAATGACAGAGAGACGATGAGCTACAAAGTATTTCCAATACTCTATCTAATTCTGATTTTAATCTTATCTTACTAATATTATAAATGCGAAAGTTTAGATCGATGGATGGATGAATGTTTGTTAGAGTTTGTAGGCTAAACGGCGGAACGGATCTCGGATGTAGAGTATAGTCTGGAAGTACACATAGGCTACTTACTTTTTGTTTATTTCCACGCCGACGGAGTCGCGGGCGAAAGCTAGTACTAAAATATTAGTTACTTACTTAAATATAAAAGGAAAACATAAAATACATAAGTGAGTAAAGTTTTGAACTCTTACAAAGAATAGATATCGTACGTATTTCGATGGCAAAAAATATGTGTAGTGTGAGTTTGTACTAAACAACTTTGACACGCTAAAGTATTATCCAGCATTAGACAAAAATACCAATTTCGGTCAATATACAAATGTTATTTTACAAAAAATGACCCAATTCCTTCCAATATTCGATCATATTGATCCACGCACGTGCAGTGTCCATCTTACCTCAACACGATCCCAGTCCATAAAGTGAGCGTATCCCGAACATTGATTTTTAAGAGACAGGATCTGTCGAGCTTTTACCAATCTATCCAATGAAAACCAACATTTATACTAAGCTGTTTGGTTGTTCGGTTTACGTATTTAAGTTAAGTCATTAACTATCATACTAATATCCGCATTTTTTTACATAAATGACATATGGTATGTTCAAATGGTATTGACATCTTTACTTTACACCGGGAAAGGAATTTATTTCGTACAACGTCTGAACTTTGTCTAGTCCATTTGTGTATAATCAAAGATCCCGAAGGATCACCTCGATCGGACGAACGCATAACAATCCATACATATGTGTGTGTGCTCCGTACAATGATACTCTCCACACATGAGTTGCATTCGTGTTAACAATAAATCATACCAATGTATTTGTGATCGAGAACTCTGATATGGGATGCGGTTGTTAAATTTATCGATATCGATATATATATTTGATTTACAAATAGCATAATAAACTTTTTTCAATGAGATTCAAATTATTCAAACACATTTCTTTCTAAGAAAATATTTATGAATCTCTAAAATAAAGCAATATTTTTCGTAATTTATAGTCTCAACGTGCATTAACTTTAAATTAAATTGTATTTCTTTCAGGCATGAATACGAATAAATTAGTTAAATAAAATTTACAAAGATACATAGTTATGTATTTTGGTAGAATGATTAAACTTCTACCGAAACACATAACGTACTTTAATACTTAATTTAACTTAACTGAATCATTAAACTTAGAAAACCTTACACGAAAAGAACATCGATATCATTCGTTCGTAACATCCCTACCACCCACACATTCGCAATCCTATTAAGATAGCAAAATGTTCATGTTTGAGTAATCGTGTAGCATTTCTTTCTCGTATTGTAATTTATTGGGCTGTAACGAAGTTAATTATTGCGATTTTTGTATTAAACGTTGGAAATTATTTTTAGCCTTGAAGATGCAGTCGTGTGCTTTTTACCGGGAATCGTCTCTACGCCCTCGTTTTTATATCGATATCATGAGAGAATCGCATAAACAGTAACATTGTGCGATATAATTCAAGTTATGGAAAATAATTGTACTTTGATAAGAAAAAACGATATACCGACTTGCTGTTTTTGTAATAAAAAACTTAATATAGCTTACTACTGATAAAATATGTCATTACAAACCGGTTGATCTGTCGATCCGTTTATAGAAGCTTAATATCGTAAATTATTTCTGATGATTTCAAATGGCATGTAGAGCTATTAAATAATTTGATTTTTTATTGCTAAAAGATTTATTATTATTAACTATTAATAGTTTAATAGTTTGGCGCCAGGAATACTGCATCTTTAGAATTAGAATTCAATTGTTTTTACAAACGTCGTTGAATTTTGTGAAAATTCCAACTACTCTATATTCATATGTCTGAATTAAATTATGTTTCAGTAATAATAAGTGTTTTTTAGATAATTGTATTGCGTAAATGTATATTCGTTATATTTGTGCAAAACAACTCATCATCATCCGCCTTATTCTACTCCCATAGGGTCGACACGACAGGTTT